AGTCTTTCTCGAACTGAAGAAAAAACTAATTTATCCCACAACCAATGATCAGTTGAACCATTTGACAAACCATTCTTTTTGGTATTATACGCCGTTGTAAACATCCATTGAGATAATCCACTTTTTTCTTTAACTGAAGCAAACACTTTATCATATATCCTATTAAGTAATCTTGGTACAGAAACAAATACAGTCGGCTTCAATTCAGCAATATCTTCCAATAATTTCAAAGTGTCACCTTGATAAAATCCAATTGCAGCACCAGCGTAAATCAATGTAATTTCACTTGTTTTTTCATATACATGAGCCAATGGCAAATACGAAATATGCACGTCATCCTTGGTAATTTTTATCAACTTTCCATTTTCACTAAGAAACATTAAACTACCAACCATTGACATTAAATTCTTGTGAGTCAGAACTACACCTTTAGGCATTCCAGTAGTACCACTAGTGTAGCAAATAGTAACAATATCGTCGGGTTTAGGATTGACTGCTTCTGCTTTATGAGTTTTACCATCATTTTCTACAGTCTTGAAATCGATAACTTGAACTTTTAATTCATTAGCACGATTTATAAAATCTTGATCTATATCACCAGAAATGATAATAGTTTTAAGAGTTGGTAATGATTCTTTCATATCTAAAAGAACTCGACCTTTATTAGAAGTTGTGAATACAAATTCTAACTCTGTCTGAGTCATAATGTATTTAAGTGCTTCTGCACCCAAAGTATCATAAAGTGGTACAGATACAAAATTGTATTGATTACAAGCAAGTTCAGCGATAGCCTAATTTTATAACAATGAATAAAGATTATTTGTTAGTAGAAAACTTTATAAAAAATATATATATATGAGAGAGAGATTATATAAAATAACAAAAAATTACATATTCTGGAGAATTAATAGAAAAGAATCCAAGAAATGCTTTAGTTTTCAAGCCAAGTTTGCAAAGACCGGAACCAAAATTTGCAACACGTTGTTGAACCTCCGAGTATGTTTCCCAAACATAGGGTAGAGCAACTCCATTAACGATAGGACGATGTCCCAAAAAGTTACCATCCCCTTTTTTACATGAACGATTACAATAATTAAAATGGTTAATATTAATGAATGATAGATGAAAATTAATTCAATTTTTAAAATTTATTCTTACGTACCTGATTCTTTTACTCCGTGCAAAAAATTTTCATATAAAGTAGTTGCTTCAGGAGGAAAATCAATCAATTTATCAGGAGAGCAAGCGTTACGCCTTGGTTTTCCTTCACCTGGAATTTCTGGTGCGTCCTTTACTTCAATTGACTGCATACTCATTGGAATTACTGGAAATGCATAAAAGTTATAATTACAAATCGTTTTATGTGGAAAAAATTTTTGTCCGACTAGAAAATTAAGGAAACGCCAATCACGTTATTCCCACGTTTGGGAATCTAAAGCCAGGTAGTTTTTAAGTTGATTAATAATAAATTTGTAAAGTAAAAGGCACGTGAGGCATATAAATTACTACCTGGCTTAGACGATCCCCACGTTTGGAAATTAATTCATTTCATTATTTTTAGAATTGTTTCTGAAAGTGTTTTTTCCTAACCGTAACATAGTCGGAAGTCATTATTATAATTTTCCGTCTGTTGAAAAATCGAGGAAGAAATAGACAGAAATCTCCGGCGTTTTACAATAGGTTTTGTGCTCTGTTTTTATCAAATTATTCGTTAAAGAGTTGCTATTTTAATGTTGCTAGGGTGGTGATCCTATCAATGAAATTTTTTAATTCATAAAAATTTGTTTAGCGTTAATGTGTTAGTGTTAAGTGCCCAAACATAATATATTACGACTCTCTTTGCGGTAGGAATTGTACGTACCCAGGTAGAATTTATTACCACGATTATCCGGTAACTTGACACAGTGGGGGACGTTTAAAGCCTGACTTTTCCGATTTTTAATTAATATTAGAGTTAGGGTTAGACATAGGCTAAGAGGTTAGTAGGCATATAGTAAAACCGCATTTCCGACACTTTTACTTGGTGCATCAAGAC